CCGCCACACAACTTAAAGACCAAAGTCAAACCTTGTTTTTCTCCTGTATTGATTGTTTTTCTAACCCCTTGAGCTAGCTTTATAATCCTACTGGTATGCTCTCTTCTTGGCTGCCTTTGAAATGCCCTACAGATCACCCTCCTGATAAATTCCTGCTAGGCAAGGAATTTGCTATCATCTTTCAGCACTCTTAACAACCTTGTCTGCAGTTCTCAGCTCCCAGCATTCGGTGTCTTTCAGGAGACAGCAGCATGTTTAGGTTGGCAGGTGAAGGGTCACTTGACAGGGTGACGTGTCCTGAGTCCTGGGATACTAACCACCAGAAGGCCTTTTAGTCTCCACTAACCCAACAGTCATGCAAAGCACATATGGGGACCAGTTGAGGAGAGAAGAGGGCTGAAACATGTCCTCACCCTATCATAGGACTTTCTTTTTTTTTTTTTTATAATTTTTTTATTTATTTATTTTTCCCCCAAAGCCCCAGTAGATAGTTGTATGTCATAGTTTCACATCCTTCTAGTTGCTGTATGTAGGGCGCGGCCTCAGCATGGCCGGAGAAGTGGTGCGTCGGTACACACCCGGGATCCAAACCCGGGCCGCCAGCATCGGAGTGCGAGCACTTAACGGATAAGCCACGGGGCCGGCCCTATCATAGGACTTTCAATCAACATCCAAGGAAAGGAAAAGCCTTTAAGAACTGGTGGCACCCAGACCTCATTTTTCTCTCTCTCTTTGCCTAATGTTCAGATCACAAATTTGAACATGAGGGGTTGTTTCTTCTTTTGGTTTTATTTCTATATGCAACCCTATTCTGTTGGGATAGACTCTTAGCGCCAGGAGAAGGAGAGCATGTTTGAGACAGAAATGTGCCTCCTTCCCATCTGAATCCAGCTGTGGCCCCTGCCCTCTGACTCCGCATTTCAGTCTCATGGCTTATTGCTGCTTTTATGCCCATCTGGACCCCTTCCCTCTCCCGTTCATTACTCATCTCACACTGTAATCTTTTACTTTGAAAAGGGGCGGCATATTCTGCATCCCAGAAGAATAGAATATTATTGTTTTTAGAACATACATAAATGTTCTCTTCTCTTTCCCTTTGACTGAAATAACAGGATGTGAGGCCTGGGGTTAAAAACTGAATTTTGGTTTAGAAGTGAAAGTTTCAGGATGGACTGAAGTTGAGTTATGGCTGAGCTCTGAAAGTCAGTTTTTGAAAGTTGAACATAAAATCCTATATTCTGCATCTCGTTCAACCCAGAACTGGTTCCAAACCACTAAAGAAAGATGGTGGGAATTTGAGATGTCCTCAGAGCGCTGTCAAATCCAACCAGCCTCATGATAACTCCAGCTGTGCATTTCTCCCTGGATTCATTTAGTCTCTGCTTCTTCCCTCCGGCCTTTAGTGGTGCAGCTGGGTGGGGCTCGAAGAGAGAGCTTTCGAATACCTGTCCAATGCACCCTGATCTCCACCTTGAATCACAAGAAGTGGACAAAGGGAAGCTTGGGAAAGAGCATGTCGGGTGCTGCCCCCACACTCCTACTCCTCCCTTGCCCGACAGACACAACCCAACAGCCAACCCTTCAGTCCTTGCTGCCAGCCTCACTCTCAGGGTAAAACCAGCCTGTTGCACACAGAAGCGGAAGTGGATTAGTAGAAAGAGTGCCGGATTAAGCACCAGGAGACTGACTTCTAGATCCAATTTTACCCATCAGTAGCTGTGGAATTTGGAGAAAGCCACTTAACCCCTCTGTATCTTAGGCTCTTAGTTTGTAAGACAGAGAGAGACACCTGCCCTTCCTCTTCTGCCTGAATTCCACAAGGTTGTTGTGAGGGTCACATGAAATGATGGAGGGGAGCGACCTTTGGAAGACTGTAGTGCGGAGGCTTTGTCTGTATTGCACTCCTACAAACCACTTCCAGACTCCTAGGACTGTTTTTATAGGGTTATTTCATGTTTCTCACCAAGGGTGGAGCTGTCGTGTCTGAGGTAGAGGCCAGCCTCCCGGAGCGCTGTCCACACTCATGGGTCTTGAAAACCCCCAGTCATGGGGAGTGATCACAGTCTGTCCAAAAGGTATTGCTCTTCAGCTCATTTTTGAAGTGCTCTAATTGGCAGCTGGTCACTGAGAACAGCCTGTTTTTCCAGACCTGTTGTTTCCAGCCAGTCGTAAGAACTTTGTCACCTTGAGTGGACCATGTACAGCCCGGGCAGAGGGTCCTGAGGTTCAAGACCTGTGTCACCACTTACTACTACATGGACTTGGGCAATGCAGTTGGTATCTCTGACACTCAGTTTCCTCCTCTGTAAAATGGGAGAAATGAGATCTGACTCCACAGGGTCGTCCTGAGGATTACAGGGATCATGTAAGGTGCCTGACCAAGTCCCTGGGCAGTACCTGCCCCTTATCTGCTCCTCTTTTCCCTACTTGTAAGGAGAATTAGTGCTAGACACGCCTGCCTGAAAGTGATGTACCCATCCTGAAGGCATCTTAGAATCAAATCAGGCATTAGACTACCCCTGCCAATGCCGGTCCGGCCAGCTGTGCTGACTCCACTGTCTCCCCCTGTCCCCTTGGTGCCTCGTGCAGGAAACATCATCGGCTCTGGAATCTTCGTCTCGCCAAAGGGCGTGCTGGAGAATGCCGGCTCTGTGGGCCTCGCTCTCATCGTCTGGATCGTGACGGGTCTCATCACAGCTGTGGGAGCCTTGTGCTATGCTGAGCTCGGGGTCACCATCCCCAAATCTGGAGGTGACTACTCCTACGTCAAGGACATCTTTGGAGGACTGGCTGGGTAAGAGGTTCTGTGGAGGCCTGAGTGGTCTAGGCAGCCGAGACCGGGGTTTTCCAGTGTGCCGAGGAGAGCTAGAGAATGGGATTCCTCTTCTGCCTCCGTGTGTGGTTGCTAGGGTAGCCTTGTGCCCCTTGATGCTCCTGAGAGTGGCAGAAGAACCTGGTTGTAGTTTTGATCTCTTTGTTGATCTTAGTGGGCAAGAGTCTATGAGTGAGAGCAGATAGAACTATATGACAACCCCCATGGAAGGCACATCCCAAAACAAAGCCCTTTTATCTTGACAAATGAGGTGATCACCTCACACACAGGGTCCCCTCTTCTCACAGTACCAAGGATAATGGCCTCTAGAGCCAGACTGTACTTCCTCAGCTTCTGCAGCCCTGCTACTGAAGAGTTCAGCCCTCCCCAAGGGGCCCAAGGGTGTGTGGGACACTTCCCCCTCAAACCTTACTCTGTGCCTCCCCTGGCAGTTGCCTAAGTGGCCACACCCTTAGCATGTCCTGGCAGTCAAAATTCCAGGATTGCAAATTTTATTTTCCACCACTGGATGCTGGGAGCCAGAGTGGTAGAGAAGAGGTGATGAAAGGAGAGGGGTGAGAGAAAGAATGCCAAGACGTGTGTTAGTACTAGTTGAAACTAAGCTCTGCATCGTTCAACAATTTTATTGTCATTGCAGAGGGCTGGGTGTCTCGTTTGAGGGGAGGGAGGGCTGGGCGTCTCATTTGAGGGGAGGGAGGGCTGGGCTCCTCAGCATCCCTGAAAACAAAAAGGAAATGCACCCCTTTAGCCCACCTGCCTCTCCTAACGCGGCCCAGAAACTTGCCCAGGCTTTCCCTGATGACTTTGGCATCCCTGCCATGCCTGTTGGCGGGGACAGGGTCTCCACTGCAGTCTTGGGTCAAGTCCCGTCCTCATCCCCCTTCAGGTTCCTGAGGCTATGGATTGCTGTGCTGGTGATCTACCCCACCAACCAGGCAGTCATCGCCCTCACCTTCTCCAACTACGTGCTCCAGCCGCTCTTCCCCACCTGCCTCCCCCCAGACTCTGGCCTTCGGCTCCTGGCTGCCATCTGCTTATGTAAGTGCCATCTGGGCCCTGCTCTCAGGACGGCTTCTTTCAGCCTTCCTGGTGGCCTACATGTCTCTGGTTCTCTTTCCTTTCCCTCTTTCTTTCCTTCCTTCCTTTATTTTTTTTTTTTCCCCTCATTACTTTTCTTTCAATTTCTTACATCTGTGTTTTGGATGAATGGATTCTGCATACAATTATCTGGTGTTAAAAAAAGAAGACACTTAAGTAGCTGCTCAGAGGCACAGTCATTTTCACTGGCAGGGTTCTTTACACTACACAAAGCACCTTCACCTCTATTTTCTGATCTGAGCCTCATGACAAATCCCTGAGTAAGCTGGGCCAGTATTATCATTTTCCTAGAGCAAATAAGGAAACAGAGACAGGCAAGTGACTTACCCAAGATGGCAGGCCCTGAGTGGAGCCCCGGTCTCCAGATTCCTTCTCTTTCCAGCACACACACCCCACCGAAGTCTCCTTGCTGCACGTAGGAAGATTTTTCTGGCCTCACCCACCTCTACCTCAACCTGCCAGCTTATATCTTAAAAGTCTTTGAGAGGAGAGTGTAAAAGTGCGAATAGGAAGAAAATAAATGCATTGTCCGTGGTCCCTACCCTTGATAAGTTTTCTGTCTAACTGGGGAGAAGAGCCATATAAACAGAATCTGTGGTTAGGATTCAGTTGCAGTAAAAATTCGGAGAAGGGGAAATAATCTCTGTGAGCAGGAATAGGTTTGAGAGGCTTTACAGAGAAGTTCTGCACCCGTGTTTCTAGAAGTCTCCACACTTAGCCTCTGATATCAGGGATCTCAAACGGATTGGGGTATTTTATATCTTTTAACCAAAAACTAATTTCTGAAGTAAATATTTGGATTTTTTCAGAGACTCTACTTCTAGAGTTAGCTTGGTCCCTGCCTTCCCACACCTTCCAACACACAGACACTTAGCTGAGGGTAGTGACCAACCCGGCCACACCCTTTCCCAGGTCTTCACGCTGCTTTCCTTCAGTCATGCTAGGGGGATGGGGAGGGGGATGGAGAGGGGGTGCCCATCCCAAAGCCTTTCACAGGGCAGCCAGCTGGGATCCAAGGAGTGGTCTCCTTGGCAAGTGTGCCCTCTTTGGCAGCGGTGTCAGTTCTGGGATAGACCCCCACCATCCAGGCAAGTGGTACTGTGGGGCCAGGACACTTGTTTGAGGAGTATTCTTTTTGCTTGGTCAGACCTGCTCGTGGCCTAGAGGCAAAGGAATGTGGGCTCCAGAGCCAGGTTGCCTGAGGCTGCACCGCTTTCTTATTGTGGCAAGTGCTTGTCAAAGTCTGCCTCTCCCCACCACCGACTGTGAGTTGGGGGTTGTGATTCTCCCTGCCTGCGCAGGAGGTCATGCTTGCAAAGATTCTTAGCACAGCGTCAGGTGCCTCGTGGCCTGGTCGTATTGGGTGGTCACGGAGGGTGGTCACTGAGGGTAGTCACGTGGTCCTTGCTTGCTAGCTGGATCCAGAGCTGGGGGAGGTGTGGGGAAGGGGAAGGAGGTGTGGGAATGCAGGAAAAGTTGCTGTTTCTGCCATCAGACAGCTGATGGGGGTGGGAAGAGGGACCACATAAGTGCTGGCCCTGCTATTTCAGCGTCTCGTGCACACAGACACGGCTTCCTTTTTCCTGCTGATGCTGCTAAAGTGTCTCAGACAGAGGCCATCCTTACCCTCCAGCTAGAAATCGAGAACCCTGAGGCTGTTCAGTTTGTCCCCTAGGAGAGAGACCAGGCCACGGGGTGGAGTTCCTTGGGCAGCTAGACCCCACACCTTCCTTTGCATTCCCCAGACTCACCAAGGGTATGTGACCCCTTGCACAAAGACCCTCTGGAGTAGTGTAGCCCCTAGATATCCCCTCAAGCCAGAATCTCCCAGGAGATAAGGATCACTCCTACCGGTAGCCCAGCTCCAGAAAGACAGGTTGTACACAGTTCCCTCCGCAGGGCCACCCTCATCTGGACACTGCTAGCACCAAGCCAAGGAGGGATTTAGAAACTCTGATAACAAAAATGACAAGATCCTCCCCTCTCCCAATTCCTGCCATCAAAGGTTCAATAAAACTTATCTGGCCTGTCCTCTGCCTCCTAGGAAGAACTGCAAGGAAATTATCTCTAGCTTAACAGCATTCAATCTTGTCCTCCAGAGACAGGAATGTTTCAATGTCCTTGAGATATGTGTTCAAGTACTTTTCTACCTTTGTAAGCAGAAAAATCTTGTTAAATCCAAACATTCCTCTTTATTTCCCTTGGGGGAAATGGAAAACAGCTCCTCACCCACCCTGTAGGCCACCCCTGTCCTCCCAGATGTGAGGGCCATGTGGAGCCCCCAACTCCCATCCCGTGGGGGTGCACGGTGGACGGAGCCACACACTTACCCTTCCTCACCACACACTCCCAGCTGCTTTGAGTCTTTGTGCAAAGGTTTTGTTTTCTGGTTTGTTGAATGTTTTTTTCTTTTTTGTGGGGGACTCACTTTCACAGGTCCCCCAAATCGTCTCTCAAAGTGTCTAGTAAAATAGGAACCAAGCTGTCAGAAAGACTTGGGGGATGCTATCTTTCATTAAATGCTGATATCTTTTATTCCATCACCCCTCCCACTATCATCCAGCCGCACCCCATCCTCTTAGCAGGTGCCAGGTGAGCCAGCTGTGTAAAATAGGCCCACCGTTCTTTGGCAGTGGAGCCGAGCGTGGCCCAGTCCAGCCATATTCTTGAGGGAAGCAGCAGAGAGCTTGGGGATGGTCTGAATGTATTTATATAAGAAGCTCTGCCTTCTGCTGTGTCATTTTGGCATACTGGTGACAGGGCTGGCTCGACCCACTGTGGAAGGAGAGTTTTTGAGGGAGAGGCCACCCTCTGTGAAGAGGTCGCTGGTGTGTAATGGAGTGCGTGGGATGAGGGAGCTGGAGGACGCGGTACGGAGCGCAGCGGGGAGAGCTGGCATGGCAAAGCCCCTGGCTGGGGTTTGCTGCGGGAGGAAGGAGATTGAGGTTAAGTCTGGTTGGTGGTGGGGCCGATTTGGAATAGATTGGATGAGAAATGATGGTGCGAAGAGCCAGATGGGGGTGGTGAGGCAGAGAGAGCCTGCTGTAACTGGCTTTCCTGCCTGGAGCCTGGAGGGGTGAGGAGAGGGAGGGAGGGCAGACACTGCAGATCTGGATCACGCTTATGCAACTGCAGCTGCCACTCTGAGTTATTCTATGATTTAGGTCAAAGCTGATTAGTCACTGCTGAGTCAGCAGAATACTCTAGCCACCAGGCAGCAAAAAAAGAAACTATTTTACATTTTAATTAAATGAAAGCCTTTCTCCCTTCTCCAGAGCAAGCATATTAGTGGGAAGAGGGAGTTAGGAAGGGGAACAGGAGATGTTAACACTTGGTTGGGTGCCGCCTTTTGTGATTTACTTGAGTATTTCTCTTTTCTTTCTTCTTCTTCTTTTTTTTTTTTTTTTTAGTTATTTCATAAGTAAATGACTATATTCTCTAGGTAAAAGATTCAAGTAATCTGTAAAGAGAGTCAACTGTGAATGCTTCCCCTTATCCTCACCCCTCTCCCCTGCCCAGTAGCCGTGGCAACAGTGGATGGGTGTCCCGACAGTTCTAAATACAATGCATCTATCGATGTACGTGTCTGGGCATATAGAGACACACATTGATGGGTTATTTCTGCGGCTTGCTCTTTTATCATTTAGCTGCATCTTGTAGCTATTACCTGACTTTCTAGTTATAAACAAAGTGGTCGCCGTGACACAGAAGTGTCAGGTGTTCTGGGGTCGCCCAGTTGTGCTTCTTGCTGCCTAACTCTGGGTTTTCCTTTGGGATCTGTTTTTCCCCCTCTCTTGGGGACTGGGCCACCTTTCACTCAGGCAGCTCCTGGCCGCCTTCCTGTCTACGTCCAGCATCTGAAGTAGAATCTTTCCTTCTCATTGAAGTCCCCCTCTTCTCCCTGAATGCCTTGTACTAAAGAAGCTCCTTCTCCTTTCTTGCCCTGAGAAAGGAATACCCTGCATGCATTTCTCAAGTAAAAAATGCTTCTTATCTTGTTTTCTATCTTTCTACTAAGATTCCTAAGAAGCTAGTTTTCCAGGGCTTCAGATTTCTCCCACTTCTTCCTTGAGTGATTTGGAAGGGAAGGGACTTCACTGTATGGATGACTTTTAACCCTGAGTTGCTCAGCAGTTGCTCCACAGAAAGCTTCAAGTGCTTGATGCAGGATGCCGTGAGAGAGAAACTCATGTGTGTTGTTTCGCAAGTCTCTTGCAAATTAACCCCTTGACATCAGAGGGTTCAGCAGTCTTTCCAACATCTAAGTCCCTTAACCACAGCTTATTTTCCTTCGAGGTTTCGTGTCCTCTAGCCCCAGACTTCTCATCCTCACGCACTAAACCTATTGCCTCAGATGCCAGGCAGTGCTGCCTGCTTGCCCTTCCCAAGTCCCCAGAGAGTTCTTTGGCTGTCTCGTCGGCCTTGTGTATATGAATCCAGACAAATACAGACTGGCCTAGATTTGATGCCCATATCTCCAAGCCCCCTTTTTCCTCTGTACATCTTCTAACCAGCCAACTTTTAAAATCTAAATATATTAAAAAACTCTTGATTTTTACTCAGTGGTCAATTTGCCTAACATCCCATTTTTCATTTTTACGATGCATTAAGACTAAAATTATTCTGGAAGTGCACTTCCTAGGAAAAAATAAAGAAACTGCAAATCCATCAGTTAATCACCATATTGAGCCCCTACACTGAGGGGTGATAGGCATTATGTATACAGAGTCATGGAAGCGATTAAAGGCTAGTAAGTGATTGGTGTACAAACAAATAATTACAATACCATGTAATGACAAAAGTGTGTACAACAGAGAGAAAGGTGCTTCAGAGGTGGGAGAGGAGTGTCAGGGAAGACCCGCAGGTTGAGTTAACTCTTGAAAGGTAAGTAGGTAGACTCCAGATGGGCATAAAATAGAACAGCTAAGTAGAGGGAAAGG